CAGGGATGGGCGGGTAGACAATGTCGACGTAGACAATGCAATTGTCTACGCGTAGACAATGATCTAGATGAAGACTTAATTTGGAAGATTCGACAATGTAGACAATGTCGACAATGTCAACAATTAAGAAACTCTCAAAACTAGAAATAGGTGTGGTGGGTATGTACCTCAAAATAAGAATTTCGTAAGGCTGTAACTCGTGATTCTTGCAAAAAAAAGAAAAATTGAAAATTTGGAATTTGGAAATGGACCTACCTATCAGTATCACAACCATCTATAAAAAAATGTATGAACCGAGTAAAAGATCAAACAATATCTGCCGAGAATTCACGAGAAAAAAAAAGTGTCCCGCTTGATGCTCCTCGATAGTTTTAGGTCAGGTCAGATTGACCAACATTTTTTTTTCTATAAAATCTCTAAATAAAGATATGTCGCATATATTCTTTACTGAAAATTATATCATTTTTAAAGTCAGCAACAATTTGGAATATCTGATTAAATTTTAAGAACACTTTGTGTAGATATTTTAGTTTAGTTAGAACACGTTAATTTTATTTTTTCTAAAAGTGAGTTACAGAAATTAATAGAAAAAAAATTTATTAAATATTTCTACTAATTTATAATATAGGTACCCTTTCAAAATAATTTTTGTTTCAATCCTAGATCATATTATGTAAATATATAAGATCTAAGATTTTAATACAGATCATATAGAGCTGAGCTTTTCAATAAACGATAAATGGTAACATATTTCTGTAAATATTTGCAGAGGCACAAGATAATGTTTTTTATTGCATTTTCTCAAACTAAATATTATGTGTATTTATTGATATATGTACCTCTATACATATACGAGTATTATATAATATATTCCCTAGTTTTCACTTAATGAGGTCACGAATGGAGACTAAAATTTTAAAATTAAATAAACTGTTTTTTACTGACTGTCATAATTTATATATTTATATAATTTTTTTTATAATAATTTTTGTTTTAAAAAATATAAAAAAATATATATTAAGTATACAAAAATGAAAGTTTTCACTTTCATTTCGATTGAAAGAAAATACCCCATTATAAAAATACATAATTAAATTAAATTAAACTTTATTCTTTAAAATTGTTTAACAAGTGTATAATAACATAATCATCAACATTATTGGTAGTTAAAAAAATAACGAGAAATAAATAATGTATTCAAAACTTAAAAAAAATAGGTTGCAGTCAGAAGATTGGTTGAAGGTTTAATTTATAGAACATTTTGTATTATTTAATTGTCAAGCTTTCAAGGCTTTTAACTTGAGATTAAATTATAAAACTGTGAAATTTTAACCAATTTAAAAATTATTCTAAAATTAACACATAATTGTCAAGAATGTCAAGTCACCATAAATTGTCAAATGTTTGTATAAAAGAATTGATTTACTTAGCAGGACTGAATAATATTAAGCGTTAGCTACCAAGAAAATTTTAATTCAGACACAGTGTATTCTTTAAGCAAACCCTCAACCAACTTTCTGACTTCAACCCTAAATTAACTTGATATTTTTTTGGTCAATTTCTATGTCTATGTTCTATGTTTACGTCCGCTCATTTTATGTTTATGTAAAAACAGCCAAACAGAAAAAGTTGAGTGATGAATTGAGTACAGCACAAAATAGATCATACGTAAATGTAACGCAAATATAATATAGGTTAGATTAAACTGAAATTAGAGCGCAAACTCCGCTTTGTCTACATTGTCTACATAGTCTACGTTGTTTACATAGTCTACGCGAAGTCTACACGTAGACGTCGACAATTAAAGTCGACGCGTAAACGCCCATCCCTGATCAGAACTCGATACCAAGCAGTCACGCGCTACTACAGCATCAGAACTCGACTCAAGCCGACACGCGCGTCATCAACACTCGCATTAATTCAACGACGCACTCATCAAACAATTTAAAAGAATTCGCTTTACCGTTTATCACCGTTGCAAGTATATTCGAACAAATTGCAAATCGCCGTTATAAAGAATTCGTAAACTCCGACACAAACGAAAATTCCACGTTACTGCCATTCGCATCGCAAGCAAACAAAATTATTAGTTTTATTTCTAAATTAGAAATAAGTACCCATTTACCCAGTGCTTACCCAGACGTTCTACCATCACAGAAGCAGACGTTCCACCACCGCCGAAACAAAGGTTCCACCGCTACAGAAGCAGAAGCCATAATTGTTTTTTTGAAAAAATAAAATAAAACAAAATAAATTAAAACAAAACAAAATAAAATAAAAAAAATAAAATAAAACAAAACAAAGTAAAACAAAACAAAATAAAACAAAACAAATTCAACGCAAAAAAAACTCCCGACCGAAACCGGAGACTCGAATACATTTTAACCAAGCTCCGAGGACGTCGGCGAGTACACCGTGTCGCGGGGTTTTCCGGATTTTTCCGGAAAATACCGCGAATTTTCCTAATAAAACTCATATCAGACGACGCGGGTTTTTATGCCGCATCTTTTGACGCATATTTCATTCGAATCCCTCGAGGGAAATAAAAGTTAGGAGTCAATTGAGTTTCAACCAATCAGAGTGGACGAGGCCGCCTGGGATCGATATAAAAGGCCGACCCGAGACCGAGGGAGTAGCACCTTCGTTCTGACAATTGAGATCCTACGCTCGCTCAATTGCACGAAGCTCCCAAACCTTAGGTTGTGATACCGCTCATACCTATTATCTGAATAATTACGGGACAGTTGAATTCCGTACACGGTACCCCGAAATTCGGAAAAATCGTGATTTGGTCGGACACGGTCAGAGAGAACTCCTGTACTTACTTAATATACCTTGCATCAAATTTGAGGTGATTGTCTAACTTCACTTACCTGATCCACTTGTTATCAGCTAAAGCTAGAGTCAGTGTTAACTACTTACCTATGTCACTGTCGGTATTAGACCGTCAGCTTGACACTAATAAAAAGAATTCTCTAAATTTAAATTAAGTGTGGTGTTTCGCGAAGCCATCCCGGACGACCAGAGACATTAGCCATCCTCCGGTAAGTGACTAATCATCTTATCCATCTTGGGGGAACTTGAAACTAGAGATTCGATAGTGACATTACTCAGTGTTTGGGGACTAGTTAGATTGTTAGAGACCTTGATTAGAGATAGTTCATTGGTATTTCGAAGAGAGAGACATTGCCCTTTCATTCATAAACTTTACTCACTTCTCGAGTAAGCGTAGACTTTTGTAGTGCGTAGTGTTGTCACTGAAACAAGAGAAGTGTAGAATCAAACAGTCAATTAGTGTTAGCCGTTTGGGGTTTCACAGCGTGTATTTGATTCGCTGATTACCGGATTATCCATATAGTGCATGCTCTCGTAACTGATACCTGTAACTACTTACCTAATTCGTACCAATCGTGAACACGCAACCCCACGAGGGGGTTCCCTTATCTCCTGGCGATGATGCTGGGATTGCCGTCGGGGAATCGGTCTCCCCGCTACCCTGCCCGAGCGCTTTAGCCACTACCGTGACTTTGGTTACCCCGCCATTCTATGGGTATTCACCTGAAGCAGTTCGGGAAGGTAATCCGTGCTGCCATCGTATTTTCCCGCTGCACGAGGAGCCACGGAGACAGCCATTGTCGTGGCCATTAGGGCCACGAAACAGCCAAAAATCCATCGACAACAAGCACAAATCGCTCGAGCCAGGGGGCCCGACAGGCAAGCCAGCGCGCTCGGCGGCGACGTTCAGTCCCCCGTCCGCCTGTTCTATATAACTAGCCCGCGTTGTCGTGAAGTATGATCGTAATGATCGACCATATTGACATGGGCCCTCGGTGGAGACATCGGAAGTTCGAATCGAGCCCCACGTTGGGCGCCATG